TTTAATAAAAAATAAAAACTTTGCAGGAAAATTTTTCTATTGATGTGGATAAAAAAAATAGATGAGGTACTAGCACGTAGAAGAGCATAGTACTACGACCATGAATGATCGGTTATTGTGCTTTTAACCGGTCTTAACTGGATAGACTTTGATTTATTGAAGGCCACAAATCGATTGTGTAGGATATTTTAAAATCAGATAAGGAAGGGATCTTTTGTCTTAGTAAGCTCCTCCTGACTAAACCCGGGGAGTCACTAATAATAGGAATACAGAGCTGACATTCTGTCTCCTTAGACAGCTTCAATTTGATAAGATGTTAGTGCAGAACTAGATGACCCGTCTGATAGCCTATCAAAAACCTAAACCCTATACTATTACATCGATTATAGTATTGTGTTCAGAAACTATGTATTTACATAAATCAAATTAAATGTAGACCAATTATTTCTAAATATTGACTTATAAAAATTCTGTTCAATTCTTTAAGCCATTGCAAAATTGTAGATAAATGGCTTTATTTAATAAGAATTTATGTTGTCAAACTATGTGGATATGAAGTAAAGTATTTTCTGGAGCATGTGTTCAAATATATGTAAAAAATATATAAAAAAATACATGGTCTTAAACATGTCTAAGTAGTAGTTGTAACACTTTAACATCCTTGTTAGAGTTAGAGTTTTTAATACGTCTGTTTGCAAAGTCAATACTATAATCTTTTTCAAATAAGACTAATTGGAGACAGATATACGAATCTGCAGACTTTATGAAATGGAAAAATAAATAGTCGCTCATCTTATATTCTTGTGTTTGTCATTGCCAAGAAACTGCAATAGTACCTTCATCTAGCTTTATCAATATCAATGTTATCAATAATGTCAATTTCTCTAGAAAACAGTAAACAAAATAAAAACTATTGAAAAATATAGTGAAGACCCAGTTAAATTCAATGTTCTTTAACTTGATTCTTTAAACAAATGTTGTCACGGTAGCTGGTTATCTGTGTATCTGTTCGTTTCAGTATGAATATCAGCGACTTAGGTCTAAAGTCTCTTATTTTAAGAATTGAATAAATGTTAATACAATTTTTATTAACTGAATATTGTTCATTTATTTAAATCACAAAACTTGGGTGCGATTAACGGTGTTTAATCGTTGAACTCGAAGAGTGACTTCTGCACGTAGATTCGGCCATTCTTGGAACTGCAGCTATTTATTGACAATAGTTGGGGTTCCAAGAACAGCCGGATCTACGTTCCGACGCCACTTTTAATTCGATGACCAAATGTTTTTTGTCACACCCAAAAGGAGCTACGCTAGCAGATCTCTGCGGACTACAACAATAACAACAACAATAGCTGTCATTTATATACATTTACAGACCTATTCTGTGTACTTTATAAACTTGTCAAATATTGACACTTGTCAAAATTGACTACTGTAAAGGTTTTGGTATTCTGTGACATAAATAAAAAGCTCTTTTCCTTATTAGTTGTCAATACTACAAATGCTGTTGACAACTATAAAAATATGCTCTTTTTAAGCATTTTTTTTATTTGCATGCATGACAAATATTCTTAACTAAAATATACGCTCCTTACAAGCATATTTTTTATTGTGATTTGAATGCATGAAAATGCTTTCGACAATTTAAAATATGTGCTCTTTACAAGCATTTTTTATGAACAGTTACGAACAATTGCGAACAGTTTTCTATACAAAACACTTTAGACCATAGTGTGGTGAGAAGTACCAGGTACTTAAGCTTTGAAATTTATCAAGATGTGTCCAGAATACCAAAAAGCTTTCTGCTGTATAAAAATCAAGAATTTATTAAAGAATTTGACAAATCTGTCAATTGCATAGAATAGGTTCATTAGGATATATACCTATGTACACTTGTTAAAACTCTACTCGTAAGACTGATTTGAATAGATCAATATGTTGCCATTTGGGAACACTTGGAAAAATTAGTGGTGGGTTTATTTTAGTTATGTTAGAATAATTGAAAAAAATATAAATTCATTGATATCGGACATAACCTCAAGTTTTTGGATAATCAGATGCACTAGCCATGATTTGAGAAGCACAATATCAGGCAAGTTAAGAAATGCAGAATATTCATGGGACGGCAATATTTTTTATTATTATAGCGATATTAAACTGAAGACTAAGCAACCAGTTAATTTATCAATATATTCTCATAAATTTTGAGTAAATTTTATTTATCCTAAATAAATATATTCTCAAAGCCTATATGCCATAAATTTTGTCTTCAATATGAAAAAAATTTAACCCAAATATACTTATCAGCAATCGCCATAAAAATTTGTTATAACTTATTTAACACTTTTTGTCTAAAATAACATATATGCAGCCTTCGATTAGATCAGATAAAATATGGAATATAAGCCGTCATATAGGCCCATGTCCTATGTCCTTTAATCTGCTTAACAGAGTTGCAAGTGTCGATTTATGATTTATATTCTGGAATTTTAATTTTAATTTCCGAAATAACAATTTTAGTTTAAAAAGGCGACTTTCGTGGCAGTTAAGCAGATGAGTATGAGTTTGATAAAAACGCTTTGTCT